ATTGAGAAGGGGAGTGACATGTTCAGACCTGAACTTTAGAAAAATCACTTTGATAGTTATGTGGAGGATGGATTGGAAAAGGAAGAGTAGAGAAAGGAAAACCAATAAGGAATCTATTGCTGTACTTCATGATGACATCCTGAACTAGGGTGTTGGCCACATGATTAGAGATAAGGGGATGCATGCAAAAGATGTTATGGGAGTAGAAATGACAAGATTTGGCAACTTAATAGACCTATTGAATGAAGGAGAGTAAGGCATCAAGAACAACAGCACAGCTAAAATTCCGGATGGCCATGAGAGTGGTGATTGTTGTCTGTCCCTTGTTCTGGAAGAGGACTATGACATCAGAGAGGTCACCTGCAAGTGAACTGGATTGAAGTGAGGGAGGGCTGTACAAAGTCACCAGCCTCACTTTCTCCTCCAGAGCCATCTGGGTCTAGTGGCCAGATATAGATCAGGAGGACTGGAGATGGCCTCTGGGAGGGTGGTACTTCCATCAGAAAGAGGAAAATTTGGAAGGGGCATGAGTTTGGGGGAAAAAATAAAATGAGTTCAGTTTTGGACACGTTGAGTTTGAGATGCTCATGGAACATCCTGTTTACAATATAAAACAGGCAGTTGGAAATGCATAGCTAGAGCTCAGGAGAAAGACTAGAGCTGGACACATAGATTTGGGTAACATTAGCATAGAGATGATGGTTAAACCTAATGTGAGATAATCAGGTCACTGAGTGAGGGAGGGTGTTGTGTTCATTCTTCATTCTGGAAGAGGACCAACATCACCAGGGCATTGACTTGGGACTGAACTGGATTTAAGTGAGGAAGAGCTGTGCAAAGTCATCAGCCTCAATCTCTCCTGTAGAGTCCAGTGGTGAGACAAAAGTCAGGATGACTGGTGACAGTCCAGGATGCAGCAGGAGGCTTTGGCTTTTTTAAGCTAAGGTCTCAGTTTGCTTGAGGCAATGCACATTCAGCTAGGTGGGCACTGAGATCTAGTTTGCCATCACAAAAGAATCACTCTGGGAGGGAAGACTCTCAGAGTTGCTGGCCAGAACAGAAAACAATTGCTATTTACATAGTGAGAGAGGGTAAAGGGAGAATACAAGAGGACAAGCCTGTGTGTTTACTGCACATATTCACTTATATGGTCCATATGCAACTCACCCTCAGCATATCCCAAATGGAACTTCCCATCCTCTCATTTCTCCATTCTTTGCCATCTGGCTTTCCTCTTCACCATTCAGGTGAAATTGCCTTCTCTAGCTATGAGTGATCTCTTAATTGTCAGACCTTTACTTAAAAGTTTTTCAAAATTGAATATTCATAATCCTCATCCTTCTCAAATTCTTTGCATCATTTGCCACTATTGACTGTCCTCGTCTCCCATGTTTTTTCTTCCCTGAACTTTTGTTACAGTTCTCTCTTGGTTCTCCACCAGCCTATTTTAGTTTCCTTTGCTGGTACATCATCATGTCATACTCTCTAACTGTGGGCATTCCTCAAGGCTCTGTAATGAGGTAATTAGGTACTGGAGTTCAGTAGATGAAAGATGGGACTGGAACTGTTAATTTGGAAGTCATTTGTATAAAGACGATAATTAAACCCATGGCGGTTTATGAGATTGCCAAAGGAAAGAGTGGAGAGAAGACAGAACTTTGGGAGAAGCCCAAGATTAGTGGGTAGGAGGTAAATGATGTTCCAGCAGAGGAGACTGAGGAAGAGGAATCAGATAGGCAGGAGGAGAACCGGGTGAGAGTAATGTCATAGACACCAGAATCGCAGAATTTGAGAGTGGTGAGGGACCTCAAGGGCCATCCAGGGACTAGATAGATTCTAGCCCATCCTACCTGCTAAAAGGAATCTCCACTACACCATACCCAAGAAGTGGGTCTGCTCTTGAAGCCTTCTGAGGAGGAAGAACTCGTGACCTCTCTGAGCAGCTCATTCTACTTTTGGAAATCTTTAATTGTTAGAAAGCTTTTTTCCCCTGATATCAAACCTAGGTTTACCTTTTTTTACAACTTTCTTCCACCACTCTTGCTTTTGCCCTTTGAGTCTAAAGAAAAAAAATCTCATGGCTCCTCTACTGACAGACCTTCAAATACTTGAAGGCAATTCATGTGTCCCCCTCTGAGTCTTACCTTCCCCCAGAAAAATGTGCCCAGTTCCCCAGTTCCAGGAGAGGGTATATAGGAACTGGAGAGTTTTTGACAGGGTCAGAAGCTTCATAGAGATTAAGTAGGATGACGCCTAAGAAAAGGTCATTGCATCAGCATTAAAAGATGGTTAGGACCATAGAGCAGTTTCAGTGATGGTGTTGAAAGTAAGTGGGAGACAGTAAATATAGAGAATGGTTTCTAGGAGTTTGGCTGTGGAAATAAATAAATAAATATATATATATATACATATATATATATATATATATGCAATTGGGGTTAAGTGACTTGCCCATGGTCACACAGCTAGTAAGTATCAAGTGTTGTTTGGTCTGAGGCTGGATTTGAACTCAGGTCCTCCGACTTGAGGGCCAATGCTCTATCCAATGTGCCACCTAGCTGCCCCTTAAGAAAAATTTTAAGTGACAGCCTGAAGAAATGTCATTGTAAAGTGAAAGTTTGTTAAGGATGGAGGTGATCTAGGTATGTTTGAAGGTGGTGGAGAAGGAGCCAGTAGAAAAGGAGAGGTTGACAATGAGAGAGAGGGAATGATTGAAACTTCCAAAGGAAATAGGGTGGGATGGGATCAAAGGCTTAGGTAGCCTTGGCAAGTAGAAAGCCTACCCATTCATCAAAAACTGGAGCAAAAGAGAAGAGAATGGAGAACAAAATGGAAGAGTTTTAAGGTGTGGAGCAGGAGAGAAGATGGAGCTTATGGCAAATAGCTTTTGACTTCCTCAGTAACATAGAGGATGAGGTCCTCTGCTGAGAGAGACAGGGAAGCAAATAGGAGAGAAGAGATCTTACAATCAAAGGGATTAAGAGAGAAGGAAATAAAAATTTGCCAGCTCTAGAATAGGGGAAGTACCAGTTGTTTGAGGCTTCCATCCTCTAGGGTCCAATCAGTTCTTTCTCCACCCACCAAGAAGGAAATGGTTGGGCTGAATTTTAAAATGGTAGAGATGTTGCATAGCCAGAGGATACTTTGCACTCTAATTCTGTATTTGGCTTCTAGATGGTACTGATATCTGAGATCTTGGTTCCTGAGAGGGTCCTGGCATCAAGGTCTGGTGTCTGGATGCTTAATGGTGTCAAAGGGGTGTGATGTGATGCTTTTCTTAAATGATTCACTGAAACAGACCCAAGTAAGATCACAGGTTCATAGATCTAGAGTAGCGAGGAACCTCAAAGGCTATCTAATCCAACTCCCTCGTTTTACAAATGAGGAAACTGAGGAGCAAGGTCACATTAGTGGCATCAGAAGTAGGATTCAAAACCAGTTCTTTTTATGATAAAATCGGGTTTTTTAATGGTTTTTTTTTATTAGTGCTTTTCAAAAATGGCCATGAACCCAGTTCTTAACTAGAAGACCCAGCATCTCCACATATAGAAGGAAGTGAAAGGAAGCCTCTAAATCCAGTCCCCAAGAGGGGCCTGGGCTGGAATCCCACCAGTGTTGGTCCAGTGATGGCAGATAGGAGAGAAGTGTTGGGAGGAAGGGCTAAGTATCAGCAATAGCTCCCACCTGCTAGGGACCAGAGGGGAGATATTTTCTCAGATGGTTCATGGTATTGGTTAGAATAGGTTCTGTAGTAGAGAGAAGGGGCAAGTCTTCAAACTCAGTCCCTTAAAGGAGCCAGGGCTGGGGCACACATCCTCACCGGTTACGTAATGAAGGCTCCTGGCCAGGCAATCTACTGTTTGCACTGCCATTGCTTACCATGATACCTGGGGATAGCGGTGTACATATATGCACATGTACACACACAAACACATATTCTCCAACTATGTAGGAACTCATATGTACACACAAGTTCATGCTTATGTACAAAAAGGCCTCAGGACTCAGATCATTTCAGCCTAGTTCTGTTGATCTTCCCTACTCCCCAAACTCTAGCTTACTAAGGGAAGGTCTCCTCACTCACCTCACCTGAACCCATTGGTGTTTTTTGCTATTTCTTGGAGAAGCCTCAAGATTGGAGAAGAATCAAGCTTGTGGTTTTAGGAGAGTCTTAGGCTGACCTCTTCCATAGGATGGAGACAGAGATAGGATCCTCATACTGAGACAATGACATCTGACTTCCCCCACCACCCACACACACACACACCCACACGCACACACACACACAGACTCCTTAGAGGAAGCATCCCAATGCAAGTGATGTGGTCTTGGACCAAGATTGTCTGTTCCTTCTTGAGGTGTTTAAGGAGGATTAGCATCTCTGGTGTGATGGCCCTTTTCAGGGCTGCTCATCCACCTTTGGAGTTCACCTTCATCCAACTCTCACCTGTGGCTTCCAGAAGCTGTTGCAGGCGGAGTGGCCACACCTTGGTAAACCATCTTGGCAGACTGGCTCAACCAGATTGAGGGTAACTGATGGGCCTCAAACCCATCGGTGAGTTAATGGGGTCTCTACCTCAAGCATATGAAGACTTCTCCCAGCGGAATGAGCAGATAATAAGTTTGTTCCAAGGGCCATGAAAGTGGCTGAAGCTGGCATTGTGGAGTGCTTAGAGCTTGATCAGGCATCAAAGACTCCAAGGGTGGCCACTGCATTCTGAACCATCCCCAGTCATTTTGACTTTTGTCTTGCCACTGGGCTTTGATGATTCAGGAAGAGAGAGTGAGTCTGATGACTTTGTGCAACTCTGCCTCACTTAAATCCAATGCAAACACCCCATGATATCATTGTTCCTCTTTGAAAATGGACAAACAACAATTCCCCATAAAGAGTTCATGCCTTAACAGTTTGGGGCCCAGAAAAAAGGACTGAATACAGTGTGGGAGTTTGGGGATAGTATAGTCTGTGATCTTCCTGCCCTCCCTTCCCTCTGTAGCAGATGGGTGAGTTGCCTCTAGACATCAACATCCATGACCCTCGATGGGACCAGGCCACCTTTGTGGGCCGAACTAAGCATTTCTTCACTGTCACCAACCCCTTGAATCTTCTACTATCTGAGGATAAGCTGCATAATGCCCGAACCATTGTGGAGAACTACAGGTGACACCCTCCTTGCCCTTCCTTCCTGTCCTCCCCAGTCCCAAAAAGAACTGCAAGTGACCACTCTACTTCTGACCTCATTGTTAGGTCTCTCAAGCATTCTAGAGAACTACAATCCCTAACCCAAATGTTCTTGGGGTAGAATTTTAAGTATCAGGGATAGGGATGAAAGAGACCCTTCTTCCTATCATGCCCTCTCCTTGGAGGAAATGATGGGCACTTATTTCTAGAGGTAAACATGGACAGCAGCTAACTATACCACCTTCACAAAAACTAACATCTTTGAAATAGCTCCTGGCCCTAGCCTTGGCCCCTGGACCATTCCCAGTGTAGGCCCCTTCAGCCTGTTATACTTACTATGGGCACTGGGCTCTTCAGATGGAGCCTGGGGACCCTGGAGCTGTAGTGATGAATTGGGGGTCACTGAGAGGAGTTTGGCTCAAGGGTGGGGAAACAGTAGGCCCCTGCACTCTAAGACTTGAGGCCCATACTCCTGGATCCCTGTAAGATGCTTCCCTGGGTCCAAGATTCAGTTGTACTTAAGTCTTTGTACCCAAGCAGGTGTGGGCTTATGGGATGAGAGGACTTGGGCATTCCTGGGGTGAATAGCTGCCTTCCCAGGATAGCAAGACTTTATCCTTCCCAAATAGGGCAGGGATCATGATCCCTGGGCTGACTGAAAATGATCTATGGAAGGCCAAGTATAAATATGACTCAGCCTTCCACCCTGACACTGGGGAGAAGCTCTATCTCATTGGACGAATGTCAGCCCAAGTGCCCATGAATGATTATCAGTGTCTGCATGCTCACCTTCTACAGGTAGGTGCCCCAGCCCCTTAAAAGGGCACCCCAAACACTGGGCCCCCGTAGGCTAACATGGCATGATTCACATTCCTCCAGCCTCAGATCTATACACTCTAGGTACCAGTCTAGAAGAGAGATGGGTTTGGGATACTTAGATCTAATCGTGGCCTAGTAGTAGGGAAGAACTGGGTTCTTCATTGGTGGTTTCTTTGGCCTCTTAATGCTGCCATTTCTCATGCCTCTCTACATATGAAGAACTATGGCCTATGTATCCACCCACCCTAGATACTTGTGTATGTGTGTGTAATAGGGGAGGTCAGGAATAACGCCAGAGACTATATGGAAAGCTTGGGGATAATCATTGGGAATTCTGGGCAGAGACGGAAAGTAAAGATAACCGTCAGGGTCTCTGAATGGACAGTTTGGGGATTACCGTGGAAGAGGAGTCTGTTTGGTATAGTATGAGGGGCTTTGAGGATAACTATTGAGGTCTCTACATGAAAGGGTCAGGAATAGTCATTAGGATATTAGGGTCTTAGAGTACAGGGATAAACCTACCCATCCCCTCAGGAACATTTCAACTGTGGTATTCTGGCAGTGGGTGAACCAGTCCTTCAATGCTGTTGTCAATTTCTCCAATAGAAGTGGGGATGTGAAAGTTACTGAGAGGTAAGAAACAGTCCTTCAATTCCATCTAATATTTCTTAAGCACTTACTATGTGATGCTGTGCTACATGCTTCATGGGATACAGAGACAAAAATGGAAACAGTCCAGCCCTTAAAGAGCTTCCATTTTCCTGGCTATAGATGACAAGATAGGCTCCCACCTTTACTGGCCTCTTTCTCATGGGGCTTATAGCAAAATCCTGGGGTCTGGCCCTGTGAGCAGTTCCCCTGTATCCCAGCATTGGCTGCCTCATCTACTTGAGGTGACCTTTGGAGGCTGTTTGCAGGGCTTAGGAGTCAGTATTGGGAGACTTTGTCTCTGTGCCTTCAGACAAAGGCATAAGCTCCTTCCCCTGGTGTAAGGTATACTTGGGCCCCGACTGTACCCTGGACCAGGTCATGAGCTGTGGAAGGTCTCTGCTACTTTCCCTCTCCCACTGGACCTGACTGGCCCCAGACCAGGTCATACTTCATATCCCATCCAGCTGTCCACCCTGGGCATCTCCACATCTGCTCTGCTGGAGGGCTTGTACCCTGCTGCAGGCACAGTAATCAGATCAATATTACCATTGCTTCCGGAAAGGATGTGTTGACTGATTGCTCTACTGGATTGATTCACTGTCCTGGCTCCCCAAACCAAAACTCTTCTCCCAGGCCAGCATTCCACTATATGTGCTATTTCTCTCTGTTACAATGTAAACTCCTTGAGAACAAGGACCAGCTTGCTCGCTTGTGCTTTGTAGCCCCAGTAATTAGTACAGTGCCTGGAACATAGTGAATACTTAATAAATGCTTTTTCATCTATTCGTTCTCATTACCTAGCCCCTCTGTCCACAGGCAGCTGGCAACAGCTTATATGAGCGCTACCACGGGGGCCGTACTCACTGCTCTGGGACTCAAATCCCTCACCCAAGTAAGCCCCACATCCTGATGTACTCCAGCCCCTCTTATCCTCCAGGGCCTCCTTGTCAGAGGCACCCCCAAAGCTCTCCCCCACATCAGTCCTCCCCCATGGTTCCCATCCCCTACCACAGGCATTCTGTACTCCATGACTCATTCCATCTGACCAGTGTCCCCTTCTTTAGCATCTGCCTAGCCTGGTTAGCCGCTTCATCCCATTCACAGCTGTGGATGCTGCCAATTGCATCAACATCCCACTGATGAGGCAGAGGTGAGCAGGGCAAGGGGTGGGCCTAGAGACACCTGTGTGTGTCTTACCTCACAAAACAGAAGAGAAGTCACTTTTCTTCCTGGGAGGGAGCCCTGGGGATGGGCTTTTAGACCCCTCTGGTCAGCCTGGCCATGTGCCCTGTCAGTTCCTGGAGGGTTCTGGGAATGGGTCAGCAGTCAACCTCGACACCACACAAACATGGCTTGAGGGATGGAGACAAAGCTGGGTCAGGACTATCTGAGGGAATCTGGGGGTGGGATTTGGGGCAGGGGAATCTAATGGTCTAAATGCGTATGTGAGGACCCAGGACTTGGAGTCTGATACTGCCTTTTCCCCTCTACCTCCATGCCTTGGAATCAGGGAGATGCTGGTGGGAATCCCTGTAACTGATGATTTGGGCCACAGGTTGAGCTATTCTTCAAAGGCGGCTCAGCTGGGCATCTTCCAGGTGGTGATATCCCAGATCTGCATGATCATGCCTGCTATGAGTGAGCATTGGGCTGGAATGAAATGAAATGGGGTGGGGAAGGTAGGAGGGGGGAGGGGTGGCCGTGGAGAAGGCACTGAGGATTCTGAGGCATGGCTGGACTCTTGGAGCTATTCTCTTTTCCCAGGCAATACCTGGCCTGTTTTCGTTCTGTGGATTCCAGGAAGCTAGGTGGTGAAGTGGATAGAGCTTGGAGGAAGAAAGACAGGAGTTCAAATCCTGCCTTGTCTTAGACATTTACTAGCTATGTGACCTTGACCACTTAACCTCTTTTAGCCTCAGTTTTGTCATCTGTAAAATAGGGATAATAATAGTGCCTATCCCACAGGGCTGTGGTGAGTATCAGTGAGATGACATAGGTAAAGTTCTTTACAAATGCTAGCCATTATTATGATCTCTTCCTCTAGCTATAACCTCTCTAATTGTGAATGTATTGGAGAGAAAAGACTTCTTGAAGGTATGTCCGCCCCATCCTGCTTCCTCATTACTATGAGTGCCATCATAAGGATAAAGAAAGGACTTGAATTTGGCTGGGTGACCAGTGATCGCAGGGGGCTGGGTAAAGAAATCTTCCCGGGAGAGGAAGAGCTCAGTTCCTTGTCAGACCCCAGGTTCCTAGCCCAACCTTAGTCTCCACCATTTGGATCCCCTGCTCACTCTGGATTGTGGGTGGGGATCCTGTGGGGGAGGCAGGGTGGAACTAAAGACACAAAGGGCCTATGCTGGAGGAAGCCAAGGAGGGGTGTGGGGAAGACCACATACAAGCAGTCATATCATTACAGTGACAGGCACACAGTACATGCTGCTACAAAACCAGACTTATCCACATTATCATATTATTACACATGCTGAATGATGTGGTAGGAGCAGCACAAACAGTCCATTCCCCCAGGCCTTCCCCCTCCCCCATATAAACTGAGGACTACAGCTTGACCCCAGAGACTGAGTGGGTTGGAATGGGTAAGCTCTATCTTTGCAGGACGACCCAGAGTGCTTTGGGAAAGTGGACATAGGCCGGCCGTGCTTGGGGCAGGGAGGAGATCTTGAGCAGCAGCCCAGTATGGTTTTGTTTGGGAGTATGTCAGAAAGGATGGCCTTGGGCCTGTGCTCACAGGTTTGGGCCTGGATGGGTTGGTAGCTGTTCTTGTGGGAAAGGGAATGATTTTCTTCTCTCCTTTCTCATGCTCAGTCTCCCCATTCACTTTCCACAGCGAAGGCCATGGCTCTTGGGCCCCATGCAAGTGGGGCTGGCTGGCTTTTGGTAAGTGTTGGAGCTAGGGCTATGACTGAGGGAAGGCATAAGGGAATCTGGGAAGGGGAGGTCTGAAGCCTCCTCAGGCTCTGAATATGGGTGGAAGGGAACTTGTGACTACACTCAGACTCCCTTCTCACCTCCCTCCTCCAGTCTGTTGTTTTCTACTCTGCTGTGCTGTGCACTTTTCCCCCAGAGGAAGTAAGTGTCCCGCGGAGGGGTCTGGACTGGTGATCCTTTTCCCTCGAGTCATGGCAGAGGTGTGGGCTGTGGAGGGGAATATTGAAGGCTGCCTACACTTCAGGATGCAAATGAGTGGGCACCCTGGGAGAAGGCAGGAGCACTCTTGCCATCAATCTGGCAGCTTGGCCCATCATTCTACAGCTCCATTTCAGTGAACTGGCTGGAGCCTGAGCTCAGAGCTCAAATTAAGGAGCAGAACCCAAACACTGAGGCTGTGTACTTCAACAAGGGACTCTGAGGGGAGTGGGGTCCATCCCACTATTCTCCACTACCACTCCACTCCTAGCTTCCTGACGCTGATACTGTTGCACATCAGTTGTGGAATCTCTGCTGCCCTCCTTACTGTTCCCTGCTGCTCTCTGCTCTACCCTGCTCCCAGGGGATGCACCTCTAGTATCCCCTAGAACCCGATAATGAGCTTTCCCACTCCTCCCATCAAGTCCTCAAGATCAGGACAGACACAGTTATTAAGGGTAGGGGTGGAAGAGGTATCTATCAGGCTATTACTGAGGGACCCAATCCCTCAGAGTGGCCAGTGTCAACTTTAACGAAACTTTTCTGCTCCTAGATGGTGTGTGTGTGTGTGTGTGTGTGTGTGTGTGTGTGTGTGTGTGTGTGTGGTGGCATTATGGGCTAGAAGTTGTTTACCTAGGTCCAGCATCCTTGGGTTTTCTCTAAACTCAAGATTTAGGCAAGGGGAGGGGTCCAGCAGAGATTTTCATTTGGCCACCCCACCCGTTCCTTCCCCATTAGAACGAAGTGTGTGTACGTGTGTTTGTGTTCCCCTGATTGTCTGGGGAGAGTCTTTGTCCAGAATGAGGCAGAGCAGCTGCAGGATGTCCAAAATCTGTGGAGATTCAGAGGCAGTTGGTGATCCCAGGACCAGGTCCTCTCCAGCTTAAGAACTCACCTAATCCTTTGTGAGATCCAGAAGGAATGGGTTCATATACCCTGTCCTGGGGAGAACAGAGCTCAAGGGGTCACTTGTAAATGTGTATCCACAGTTAAACGATTGTGTTTGTGTCTCTGATTGTATAACATAAGTTTGTGCTAAGGGCATGACTGTATATGAATGTCTGTGAGGGTCTAACTGTATGAGTCTGTGTGTCCTCATGTGGGATTCTGTTGGTATCAGAGTCCTGCATCCTAGGAGCCCACCTCATGAATGGGCATTTCTTCCAATATTGGGTTTCAAATTAATTAAAAGCCTCTTCCAGCCCATAATTTGATACCTCCTCCAACCTCAGCCTGGCCTTGGTCTCTAGGCAGTTAGTAGTGATGGGCAATGAATGGTAGAAGTTGTGTGTGTGTGTGTGTGTGTGTGTGTGTGAGAGAGAGAGAGAGAGAGAGAGAGAGAGAGAAGAGAGAGAGAGAGAGAGAGAGCGAGAGAGAGCGCGCTTTCCATCATTCACCTCAGATAACACAAGACACTTATTCTCATGATTAGACTGGTGTGTGGTAGGGAAGAGGAACCTCAGGGCTACCCCGTCCACTGAAAGCCTTTCTCACTTAGCATCCTGCTTTTCTGCCTCCCTTTCCCCTTCTCCCAACAACTACCAGCAATGATTCCCTTGTTGCAAATGTTCGCACCCAAATAAACTTGATACTTTCCAGTCTTGTGGTCATCATTTGAAGTATGAATCGTAAAGGCCTGTCTTCCAAAATGAGACCTTTTATAGTGCTGCGTTATTCCATCCTGGTCAGACCATATATAATGAATTATGTTCAGTTCTGGGCATCACATTTTAAGAAGGACACTGAAATAGGAGTTCATCCAGAAGAGGTGAGAGCATTAGATACCATGTCTTATGGAGGTCAGTTGAAAAAAGTGGGGATAGTTAACCTGGAGAAGAGAAGATAGGGAGGGATGATTGCTGTCCTCATATCTGAAGGTTGTCTGAAGCTTTCAGGCAGTTCCCAAGTAGCCCAGACACATCTGGGTGACAGACAAAATCAGAGACACAAATAGTTTTTTGCATAATGGACACCCATTCACATGGACTCCTAGACTTCTCTCCAGAAGGTATGGAGGCCCAACATGACACCCTGCCTGCTGGATCCCTCTTTTTCCTACTTGGAAGGACTTTATTTATTTCCTCTTGGCCTTAGTGGGAGAGGGAGGCAAGTTTTGACTCAGTCCGAGTCACAGCTAGCCAAGAACAGGCTGCCTGTTCTTTGTGAGGTGGTGAGTTGCTCAGCTTGAAGTCTTTCAGCAGGGGATGAGGGATGTGGTGGTGAGGGTGGCGGCAGGCTCTATTTGAAATCCTCAGAGGTTCATTCCAGCTCTGAGATTATAGGAAAGCCTCCATTTCCTTGGAGTCTGGGGCAGAATGTAGGGAAGACAGGATGTGGTACCTCTTGTCTGTAAAACCCTCAACCTATTTTCATAATTCACAGTCTCCAGCAGAGGGAGCCCTGAGATAGAATAATTCGATTCATAGAAGCAGGTTAAGAATCCCTGCTTCCCTGGTTGGTCTCTCTGGAAGTTGTCTCACTCTCTCTTTCACAGCACCCTTTCCCCACCCCATTTAGGCTGAGCTGTCCATCCTTTCCCTTCCTTTGCTTTTTGAGTCTCTTCTTTTATTTTTATTTTAGTAAATTAAGAATGTAATCACAAAAAAATCCCAAACATTCCAAAACATAAAGATCAAAAGATTGTCTATAAAATAATCTTGTTACATTTTTAAAAAGTATATGTTAAATTTAACAAGGCAGTCACTAAATTGTTTTGGGGAGTCCCTTTCCACTCACCCATGTCAAAGTCTAGCTAGGGCTATGTCCCTCACTGCTCAGGAGACAGCTATTAATGACTTTGAAGGAGGAGAGATTAGGATCCCATGGCACCAGGCAGAGGGATCAATGATGCCTCCCTCAGCTCTATCTTACTGCTCAATGGCCACTGTGATTCCTTGCTCACTTCCTACCTGAATTCTTCCCTCAACCGTCTCCCCATACTCCTTAGATACCTAAACAAGTGCATATACCATGGAGACTTATTAAACTCCTTCCCTCCATCTGTACATACAGTAAATGTTCATAAAAAGAAGTCTATTAAATTTATATGGCTAGCCTGTGAGTGAAAGGGCATTTTTTTTCCTGAACTTTGAAGGTGACCGGTGTGTTGGTTTCAAACATTTCGATTTTTTTAGCTGATTAAAAAAAAAAGATCTTATGAGAGTTTTTACTATCTCACTACTTTAAGTAGAAAGAGGAGAAATTCATTAGCTCAGCAATTATATAATAATATGGCTAGAAAGCCAGGAACCTGCTGCTCACTCAAGAAGTTTCCTGATTGGCCTACAGGGACCTGGATTGTTGAATGGAAGGAATGAACTTGAGCCAGCACCCAGATGGGCATTTCAGAATGGAAGATGCTATTCTTGCCTGGGACAAAGAGGAAGCTGGATCCTGTTGCATGGGTATCTAGGCTCTGAGAAAATCTATAAAATAAGGGGGTTGAAATAGATGATTTCTGAGCTCTCTTCCAGTTCTAATATCTGCTCTCTACTCCATGGGCCATGCTGGTCCTGGGGGCCTTTAGTTAAAGATGAGACAAGAAAACTTAGCTGTCATTTAGTTTGGGACTGAGGACCTTTCTATTATATCTACTTCAAATTACCTTATATCTATGTAGTTTTTTAAAAAAAATTTATATCCTCTTTCCTTTGTAAATTAACTCCTTTTTTTATATGAGGCAATTGGAGTTAAGTGACTTGCCCAGAGTCACACAGCTAGTGAGTGTTATGTGTCTGAGGCTGAATTTGAACTCAGGTCCTCCTGACTCCAGGGCCAGTGCTCTATCCACTGCGCCACCTAGTGTAAATTAACTCTTGAAAATCTACTCTTATGGGTGAGAGTAATGGTGTCAGACTTCAAATAGAAAAAAAAGGGGTCTATAAACTAAAAAACACCCTGCAGGTGCATATTAAATTAGTTTCAAAATATAAAATTATCTTTGCTTTACTGTATTTTTATTTATTGTATTAAACATTTCCCAATTACATTTTAATCTGGCTCAGGCAGGATTCAGCAGTGATGTGGGTAGGGCAATATGTTTTATACCTCTGGCCTAGGGCATATAAAGGTATAAGGTCAAGGGGAAAAGGAAGGTAGTTTTTAGGACTAGGCATTCAGACATGTCAGTAACATCAGAGAAAGAAAAAGTTAATAGGGTTCAGACAACAAATGTCTGATTTCAGTGAAACATGGCAGTTCATGAATGCAAGATCTAGGAGACTAATCGATGCTGCAAGTTGGGTTGAGTGATAGGTGAAGTTCAGAAAGTAGTGAACACTGAGAGCCAAAGACAAAATCTGCTAGGACTGCTCCAATGGAGCCTACTGGTGCCTTGATAGGATAATCAAAGGTCAGTGAAACCTAAGAACGAGAGGTGATTCTGTCATACGTCCCCACTCAAACTAATGTTTCTCTCACCCCAGGTACTTTACTCCCTATGAATACACACCTGACTTTAAATGAATTCTCCTACCTGTCTGACGTTTTCAGTCTCCTTTGCTGAATTATCATCCATGTCCTGCCTCCCAGGTGTGGACGCATCCCAGGGCTCTGTACTAAACCTTTTTATCTTTCCCCCTGCATTCTCTCTTTGTCATGTCATCAGTTTTCATGCATTATCATTGTTACTGACCTTCATATCTGCATATCCAACCTTAATGTTTCTCCTAAATTCTAGTTCTGTATGATCAATTGCCTGCTGGACAGCTCCTTCTGGATGTCCCATTGCTATTCCAAATTCATCACATAAAAGGCAAAACTCATTCTCTCCCCTTCTTTGCACCTTCCTCCCCTGCCCACTACTACTCTATTTCTGACAAGTATGTTACCTTCCTTCCTGAGATCCAGGTTCACATCCTCAGAGTTAACCTTTTCATTTCCTTCACTCTGACCCTAATATCCAATCAGTCCCAACTCTAATCTGTTCTATCACTATGACATCTCACATTATCTTGACATTCTTTCAGCATTCCTTCCACTCCACAGTCATCTCCTAAATTCAGTCTTTCATTTCCTTACAATAAAGATTCTTCAGAGCCTTGAATGCCAAGTTAAGGAATTTTAACTTTATTCTGTAAGCAATGGGAAACCTGTGAGAGCTTTGGAGAGCAGGAGAGTTGCAAAAGGCGAGTTTGTTTTTTATAAATTTGGGATATTTAAAAATAATGACACCATCATATGGCTATTCCTGGTTGTATTTCTATGCATAGTAATAGCTTACAT